CGGGAAGGCCTTGGTGAATTCTGAGCGAGCCGTTCCCACGGAGGGAGCAGTGGATGGCGGCCAGCTGAGGACTCCCGGGTGAGAGGGTGGGTGGAGCAGCCAGCGGAGGCAGGAGAGGGTGGGAACCAATGAAATGGAGAGAGGGAGGCTAGGAGATTTGCAGGCCAACAGCATCACATTAAGTTTCTTTTTAACAAGACCATCCAGTTTTTCATTAGAGAAAGAAGGAAACAGCAAATCAGGGGTATTTAAAGGTCGTGTGAAAATCACGAAAACCTCAAGTTGAATCTGTTCCCACCTAAATAACTTTTGTTTAGAAACCAAGCAAAGCCACGGAAACCATCTCAGCACAGATCCCAAAACGGAATTACTCGGATGTCCCTGAAATGGTGTAGGTGCCATGAGCCATTGTACTAATACGCAGTGTGTCCATACAGAGGGTAAGGACACCAGAGTCCGGTGGTGTCAGAGACAAAGGCCAGAGCTTCCCAGAAGGTTCCATTAGGACAGGAATTCAGGAAGTGAGGTCGAGGGAACAAGGCCGGGTAAGATCACTTGAGGCCAGGAGTTCAAGACCAGCCTAGACAATAAGTCAAAACCTCATCTCTACTAAAAACACAAAAGTTAGCTGAGTGCGGTGGCACACACCTGTAGTCCCAGCTACTAGAAAGGCAGAGGCAGGAGAATCGCCTGAGCCCAGGAGATGGAGGTGTCAGTGAGCTAAGATCACGCCACTGCACCCCAGCCTGGGTGACAGAGTGAGACCCTATCTCTAAATAAATAAATGAATAAAACGAAACTAGGTAATTTGTGTATTATTCAATCTCTTGGCTTGTCATCTAAGCCTTGGTGTGTTTAGAGAAATTTTCCTTCCATTCCCTCTTCCCCTCCCTCCATGCTCCCAAAATAATATCTCAATCTTTTAAAATCCACATTCCACATTTTCATTTTTATGAATACATAAATATATTTTATTCCTGGGCCAAGTAGCACCCGACGATCTTATTTCCTTTTTTTTTTTTTTTTTTTTTTTGTTCCTCCTCTTAACAAATACCTCATTTTTCATCATCTTACGTCTGTTTGTTGTTGTCATTGAAAACAATTGATGAAATCTTTCCATGCCCTCAATATCATTTTCCACATGACCAAACCTGTCAGATCATTTGTTAGGCCGAGTTATTTTCCTGAGGACAAACTCCCCCAGCCCCTAGAGGCTTCTGACTCCTGCCGATCTGGGCAGCTTGCTCTCTGGTCCAAAACACAGCGATCTCCTGGTGTCCCTGGAGCCACCGCCCAGGGAATTCCCTTCTCTCTTCCCTCCTGTGTTGCAATCCTTGTTCCTGGATCTATCTTCTTTCTTGGAGCCCTGATTTAAATTAAATACATCCTTCAGTAGTTCCCTAAGAAAGGTACCTGGGAGGCAAGTTATTTGAAGACACAGTATGTCTAGAAAGCTCTTTATTTCTCCCATCGTGTTTAATTGACAGTCTGGGCTGGTGTGGAATACTAGGTGGAAAAACATTTTCAGGCAGTTTTTGTTTTTTGTTTTTTGTTTTGTTTTGTTTTGTTTTTTTGAGATGGAGTCTCACTCTGGCACCCAGGCTGGAGAGCAGTAGTGCAATCTTGGCCTCCCAGGTTCAAGCAATTCTCCTGCCTCAGCCACCCAACCAGCTGGGACTACAGGCCTGTGCCACCACATCTGGTTAATTATATTATTAGTTAGAGACAGGATTTCACTGTGTTGATCAGGCTAGTCCCCAACGCCCGACCTCAAGTGATCCACCCGCCTCAGTCTCCCAAAGTGCTGAGATGACAGGCATGAGCCACCGCTAATGAGCCAGTCTCAGTCAGACTTTTGAAAGGCACTGCTTCCTTGTCTTCAAACTTCCAATGTCGCTGTTGAGCAGCTTGATGCCATAGCCACTCCAGAGGCTTCCTGTGCCTGGACTAGGAGGAAGTGAGAGAAGCACCGACCTGAGGCGCAGACATGCAAGGGAGTGCCAAATAATTCGGCCATTGAAATGCCAACTTCAAATAAAGACGGGATCTGAACCTACAGTCACTCAGCTCGACCTCACTCACCTCACCCAAGTCCCAGTTTTGCCGGATCGTGTCTTTACTTAAAATTTTTTCCTTTCTTTTTTTTTTTTTTTTTTTTTTTTGAGACAGAGTCTTGCTCTGTCAGCAGGCTGGAGTGCGGTGGTGCAATCTCGGCTCACTGCAACCTCCAACTCCCAGGTTCAAGTGATTCTCCTGCCTCAGCCTCCTGAGTAGCTGGGATTACAGGCGTGCATCACCACGCCCAGCTAATTTTTGTGGTTTTGGTAGAGATGGGGTTTCACCATGTTGGTGGGGCTGATCTTGAACTCCTGACTTCAAGTAATCCACTCATCTCAGCCTCCCAAAGTGCAGGGATTACAGGCTTGAGCCACCACACCTGACCTCTTTTTTAAATAGTGCATTAATTTTTTTTATCTTGATCACTGAGTGTTTTGGTGCCCCCTTAAATTCTACCCACAAGGCCAGTGCCTCACTGGTCTCATTGCAGTGCCAGCCAGGTCTCTCCAGACACCTCACGGAGCCGTCTTGATGCCTGCATATGAAAGGTTGTGGTGATGAGCCTGGATGTGGATTTTTTTTTCACTGATTGAATTGGATGCTCGGTGGATCTTGTCATCTAGGAACACATGTCCTTTAATTCTGGGAAATTCTCTTGTACTATTTCCTTGACAATTTCATTCCTTCCTCTCTCCATTTCTGGGACTCCTATTAGCTAAATGTTGGACCTGAAAATATATATATATATATTTTTTCAGATACAGGTCTTGCTCTGTCACCCAGGCTGGAGTACAGTGGTACAATCAGGGCTCAACACAGTCTCAAACTCCTGGGTTCAAGTGATTCTCCTGTCTCAGCCTCCCCTAGAAGCTGGGACCACAGGTACACAACCACGTGCAACTAATTTATTTTCTGTAGAAATGTGGTCCTACTATGTTGCCCAGGCTGGTCTGAAACTCCTGGCCTCAAGCAATCCTCCCGCCTCGGCCTCCGAGCACTGGGATTGCAAGCCTGAGTCACCACACCCGGCCTGATCCTCTAATTGCTTACGCTTTCTTTCCTGCCTCTTCCCTCCTTCATGTCTTCTTCTCTCTTTGTTATATTTCCAGAGGAAGTTCCTCCACTTTGTCTTCCAACTCCTGATACTTTCTAACATTTCTACCATCAGGATTTTTACTTTCATGCGTTCATTCTTTTTCTCTATTTCTTTTTGATTCGACTCTGTTATTTTTTCAGGGGTGCAATATGTTCTTGTATCTCTCCTTGCGCAGGGGCCATGCTAATCTTCTCTGTATCGTTCCAATTTTAGTATACGTGCTGCCGAAGCGAGCACATGTTCTCGTATCTCTCTAAGGGTATCAGTTATGGTTTCTTCAAACTTGTATTCTGCTGCCTGCATAATCTCCATTTCCTGTTGGTTCATATCTTCCTTGGAATATGAGAGAAAGTGTCCCTCAAGTGTCCATGATCCTTGGCTGCGTGTTTGTGTTTAAGGGTTCCCCACCGCAGGGTGGGTTGGAGGCAGGAAGTGCCTGAATGTGGCATGTTAACTGGACACTCAGCTGCTCCCACCAGCTTATCTGCTGCAGACCCATGAGCATAAGCGTCTGGCAGTCGTTTCTTTGGGGTTAATTCCTTCAGGGAAAACATACTTCAGTCTTTGCATGGGGTTAGTGCAGGGTGCAGGCATAAGCCTGATTCTGGTACCCTAAAGGTGGGTGGGGAAGGGGGCTGGGACCCTTTAGTAGGACATCTCACCCCTTCTCTTCACACTTGGCATCTCTGAGACCAGGACCTCTGGTCTCTCATGGGAGTAAGGGGGACAGTCACCTGGCTGCATAGGATGGAGGCAGGGCTTGGAGGTCTACACAGACTTTCAAACTACCCCCTACCCTTATTTTCGGGCCCTGCCCCACTTCCTGTGATACTTGGCCCCTCTAATCCCAGACTCTTTCTGGGTTTCTGTAGAGAAAACCAGTTTGCTTCTCCAGTCTCTTCCGCACTCAGTAAGTACAGAGGTTTGAGCTTCCTCCTCTCTGCCGAGCCCTTTATCCTCCTCCGGCAGCTTCCCCCTCCATGTATTGAAATTCAGGAGTAGAGGGGTCTCCGCATTCCACCAAAGACGGGGTTCAGGCTTCTGTTCTTGTTCTCCTGTGGTTTCTGCAGTTTTTAGGAGGGGAATGGAGGGGAAACTTCTTTCTTCTGCCATCTTGGAAAGTCCTGGGCAAAATGTGACATGGGGGATAGGAGTTGACCAGGCAGATGAGGTGGGGAAGGGCATTCCTGGCAAAGAGAGCTGTGTTCACGGGCAAAGAGGAATAAACGGAGCCTCCTGGAGTTCGCATGGCTGAAAGCAGAGAGAAGCTACAGCCTGGGCTAAGGAACTGGATCCAGAAGGGCCTTCGTGGGCCAGGAAGTTTCTCCTTGATCCTGGAACAAATGAGGAGCAGGAGGAGAGGAGCCCCTTGACCACATCTGTCCAGGGCCACACCGTGGCAGAGGTGCTGGGGAGCAGAGCATGGTGGGACGTGAGGGGACAGACGCACTGGGAGGAGAGAGGCCCCTGGGGGATGCGGATGTGGGAACAGGAGGAGGAATACTCTGAAAACTGGCTCAGAGCTGGAATAGGCAGGACTAACAGGAACAGGGCATGAGGGCAGAGGGAGAAGCTTGGTTTGAATCAAGTTTCTGGTTTGGGCAACAGAGTAGGTGGCAAGGCTGTTGACAGAGATGAGGAAACGCTGGGGGAGAAGGCAGTGTGGGGAAAAGTCTATTTGCATCGATATTACATTCCTCCAAATCCCATCTCTGAGAAGTCCACGCTGCCATTATATAGTCGCAGTCAATATCCACATAGCATTGCGGGTCCTGCTTTTTTCCCTCAGCAGTATGTCTCCAAGTGCCACCAGAATCCTCAGTGTCCTCCTTTGATGTGGCCGCAGAGCACTACAGCATGTTAAGAAATGCCCTGGTTTCACCTGCTTATCCCTGTACTCTGGACATTCTGGGAAAAGTTTTCAATTAGCAATAATCGCGCCTCGGATAAACCTCATTGGCTACGATACTGTCACTGCGCAAAGCTACTCTGGACATTCTGAAGAGGACTGTGATGGTCACCAAGGTGCTCTCAGTAGGGCCTCTGAGTAGCTCCATAGCTCAGGTCTCCTGCCTCCTCCAAGGCTGAGGACCCCCCGAGGGTGGCCGCTGCATCTGCTCTGCCATCTCTGGGGAATGTTGAGGAAGAATGCTTGAGACCTCACAGCCCCTGCACCTCATTGATTCCCAAAACTGCCCCTGAACCTCAGAGAAACTTGCTTCCCCCTCTAGCCCCAGGCAACACTGATTCTCCCAGGCTAGGATAGAGCAGGGACCTCACTATTCCTCCACCTGAGCCCTCACCCCTTCCCAGTGGCCATGATATTTTCTTTTTTTTTTTTTTTAGATGGAGTCTCGCTCTGTCTCCCAGGCTGGAAGTGCAGTGGCACGATCTCAGCTCACTGCAATCTCTGCCTCCCAGGTTCAAGTGATTCTCCTGTCTCAGCCTCCTGAGTAGCTGGGGCTACAGGCACCCACAACCAAACCCAGCTAATTTATGCATTTTTAGTAGAGACAGGGTTTCACCATATTGGCCAGGCAGGTCTCGAACTCCTGACCTCCGGTGATCCACCTGCCTCGGCCTCCCAAAGTGCTGGGATTACAGGCATGAGCCATAGCACTCAGCCAGGCCATGCTGTTTTCTGCTGCCACCCTCCCCTTCTCCTCTCAAGAAAGTCTCAAGTACATGGGTCAAGTGATATCAGGGTTGCCCCAGACCTAAGAACAGTGGTGCCCCCAGAGGGAAGCTGGAGCCCTGTGGCAGAGGTGGAGGAAGAGGAGCGGACCAATCGGTTGTTATGGCAACCAGGGCTCCCAAGATGGAGGGATGGGAAAAGGCGGCCCTGCTCAAGAGTTGCCATGGCAACCCAGAGCCTCTAAGGCCAGCTTTGAAGACAAAAACCACACACCCCCCTCTTAACAAAGAAAGTACCCAGGACTCCTCAGGATTCTTTGCAATCCAGAGTGTCAAACCAAACAGGTCAAGGTCTCCTGGTCTCACAGTTGACTTCATAGACTTTTCTGGGGCCGAAGTGCTGCTCCTTTTCTGGGAAAATACAGAGCGAGGGCTTGACAACCCATAGGTTCACTCAGCAAGCATTTACTGAGCCTACCGAATTCCAGGGCCACAGCAACAAATTAAGATCCAGACCCCGCTTTCAAGGGAGGAAGACAGATATTTCCATGTCTGTATAAGACTTGCCGGGAGAGGTAAATAGTTCAACCTTCTATGACGACAGTTTGTCAGTGCTCATTAAAAACTTTAAGTGGATGTCCTCTGTGACCCAGCAATCCCATTCTTAAGACTCTGCATGCAGAAATATTTGAATCTGAAGGTGATCTTCGCAGCATTATTTATAGCAGTAGAAAATGGAAAACAATCTAAATGCCCCGTAACGGAGGCCAGTTACATCCATTTTGGTACGTGCATACATGTTGAATGTGCAAAGGCATACGTGCGTAAGAACACGAGGAACCGTTAGCAGGAATTACCCAGGAGTCACTGGACTGACCAGTAGGGTTAGAGAGGGGGGATGTTTCACTTTTACTTCTGAACCATTTGGAAATGTTACAAGAGTGTGCCTTTGTGTTTTGTTTTGTTTTGTTTTGTTTTGTTTTGTTTTGTTTTGTTTTGTTTTGTTTTGTTTTTTGAGAGACAGGCTCTTGCTCTGTCACCCAGGCTGGAGTGCAGTAGCACATCACGGCTCACTGCAGCCTTGACCTTCCAGGCTCAAGTGAACCTCCCACCTCAGCCTCCTGACTAGCTGGGACTACAGGTGTGCACCATCATGCCCAGTTAATTTTTCGTATTTGTTTAGTTTTTTGTTGTTTGTTTGTTTGCTTTGAGATGGGGTCTCACTCTGTCACCCAAGCTGGAGTGCAAGTGGCATCTCACTGCAACCTCCGCCTTTCAGGTTCAAGCAATTCTTATGCCTCGGTTTCCTGATTAGCTGGGATTACAGGTGTCCGCCACCACATCCGGCTAATTTTTGTATTTTTTAGTAGAGACAAGGTTTTGCCATGTTGGCCAGGGTGATCTTGAACTTCTAACCTCAGATGATCCACCCACCTCGGCCTCCCGAAGTGTTTTTGTATTTTTTGTAGAGATGGATTATTGCTATGTTGCCAGGGCTAGTCTTGAACTCCTAGCTTCAAGTGATCCTCCGACTTTGGCCTCCCGAAGTGCTGAGATTACAGGAGTAAGCTGCCACGCCCAGCCTATTTTTATAACTTAAGGAAAAAGCTAAATGTTTGCTAATATATGATCGATAATACAAAAGGATTTATAGTGGTGAAAATCTAGTATATTAACTTATAACGATGCAACGAAAAAAAGAAAAAAAAAGCACAGGCTGGGCCTGGTGGCTCACGCCTATAATCCCAGCACCAAGGAGGGTGGGTCACTCAAGGTCAGGAATTTGAGACCAGCCTGGCCAACATGGTGAAACCCTGTCTCTACTAAAAATACAAACATTAGCCGGGCATGGCGCCCGTAATTCCAGCTACTCGGGAGGCTGAAGCAGGAGAATCTCACACCCAGTGAGCTGAGATTGTGCCACTGCACTCCAGCCTGGGTGACAGAGTGGGACTCCCACTCAAAAAAAAAAAAAGAAAAGAAAAACAAGCACAAACTGATTTACAATGGGAGCACTAAGAGAGGAGAGGAGAAGTAAGACGGGTGGGAAGAAGTTAGGTCTTGCAGGTCGCAAAAAAAATGTCATCATCAGGAGAAGGAGGAAAGGCATTTTGGCTGAAGGAAGGGCAAATGCGAAGCCTAGGAAGAGTGAAAGTTCAGGTGCTCTAGAAAATCCCAGTGGTCTCTGTGTCACAGGTGCAGAGACGTAACACAGACCTTACCCAGGGCCAGCAGGAAGCCATCCCAAATGTGAAAGTACGAAAAGGGCATGAGGTCAGCAGAACCTAAAAAGATCTGGTCAAGCACTGTGGCTCACGCCTGTAATCCCAGCAGTTTGGGAGGCCAAGGCAGGCAGATCGCAAGGTCAGAAGATCAAGACCAGCCTGATCAACATGGTGAAACCCCGTCTCTACTAAAAAAAAATAAAAATTAGCCAGATGTAGTGACGCCTGCCTGTCATCCCAGCTATTCAGGAGGCTGAGGCAGGAGAATTTCTTGAACGCAGGGAGGCAGAGGCTGCAGTGAGCCCAGATCTCACCACTGCACTCCAACCTGGGCAACAGAGCAAGACTCTGTCTCAAAAAAAAAAAAAAAAAAATCTCTCCAGGCAGACATGAAAGAAAAGTACCAGAGTCCGGGAAACACCTTAGGAAGCTGCTGGAATCACACAGGGGTGACAGGAGGGGGACGACCCCACCGGAGGGCAGATGGAAGGAGAAGGAATTGCAGGAAGTATTTCATATGTAAATAGCTGGAGTTTATGATGTTTCTGAATCCATAGACTTACTTTCTAGAGCTAGATGAGGTTTCTCAGCTTACAGATGGGGAAACTGAGGCCCAGATAGGGGAAGCGAGGGATGCCAGGGTTTATGACTTGGAGTTTTCTCCAGGCCTCCTGGGGGAAGTGGCTAAGTCCTTCTAAGATCTGACCTTTTTTAACTCTTAATTCAGACAAGTCTTAACTGAGGGGGATGGGCAAAGGCGAGGCTGCGGCCCAAGAAGCGTCTGCAGGAAGAAGAGAGCCAGGAAGAGGATGACCCCTTTGGTATCTGGTCGCTGAGAGTCCCACTCAGATCCACGCCTCCTTAGAGAGAGCGCTCTTGGTCCCACACTCAAGCATGGCTGCCCTGCAGGGAGCTTGGGCAGTGCTCAGACCCTGGGAGGGGCGGCTGGCAGTGGGCACGGTGTCACCACGAACTGGTCCAGGAAATGCCTCTGTCACATGCCTCCCCAGCGCCCTGTCCCCTGCCTGGTACCATGGCAGCACTGGGACAAACACGGCTCCGAACTCAAGAGTCAAGAGCCCTGGAATCAACTGCCTTTCTGTCCTGCCACTCAGCGAGCTGGCCTGGAGCTTGCCACTAGCAGACCCATGTGATAAGTTCCGTGAAGGCATGAACTCACACTGAGGAATGCTAGGCTAAGCATCGCCCTCTCCCTGGAGAGGAAAATGGAAAAGTCCTGGTGGGGGGTATTATCACAAAGCTGTCAGCGTGTCTACGTTTATCAGATTAGTTAAGAGACGGGGCTGATCGTAATCATTCCCGAAATATGTGCAACAATTCAGCTTGCAACTACTTCTACACATGAGCCTCTCATTTGACTTTTAAAAAAGAAAACAAAAACATTCAGGGCGGTGCTGCTCTTCCATTTCACAGATGCCGGAAGCACATTCTGCGAGAGTCGGACGCAATCCATATGTATTGTGTCTATCTCACACCAGCCCCTGGACAGACGTACCAGCAGCTGCTAGAAGACATATCTGTTCGCACTGGTCCAAAAAGATATTCCATGAGAGGCCGGGCGCAGTGGCTCATGCCTGTAATCCCAGCACTTTGGGAGGCTGAGGTGGGTCAGGATCACCTGAGATCAGGAGTTCTAGACCAGCCTGACCAATATGGTGAAACTCTGTCTTGACTAAAAATAGAGAAATGAGCCAGGTGTGGTGGCATGAGCCTGTAGTCCCAGCTACTTGGGAGGCTGAGGCAGGAGAATGGCTTGAACCCAGGAGGCAGAGGTTGCAGTGAGCTGAGATCATGCCACTGCACTCCAGCCTGGGCAACAGAGCAAGACTTAGTCTCAAAAAAAAAAAAAAAAAAAAAAAAAGATACTCCTTGAGAACAAGGTTGCATGTCAAACAAGCATAGGAAATACAACAGCCTTCATCCCTCACCCTTCTGATGAATCGCTGTGTCTATTAAATTACTCATGGCCCTCCCTGAGAAGTCCAGCTTAGCTCTGTTTAACACCTCTCCCAAGTACATGGCCATGGAACCCCCTTTTACACAAAACTTACTAACAGCCTTTAGAACTTGGGATCCGTGGAACACATTTTGGCAAATGCTGACCTG